GGCGACGATACCTTCCACTCGACACTGGGACCACCTGTGCTGATCAATTGCCTGCGACGGCCATTCTGATGGAGAAGATGGATTTCTGAATACCACCTCGCGGTTCTAGACCATTGTCGAACTCGACACGATGACAGGGAACGCCTGCGAGCAAATTCCCGGCCATTGGGGTTTTCCTTTTCGAAGAAAGGTAATGCCCCAGAGATTCTCCGCATTTTCTTCACAAGCAGGGTTTTGGGATTCTCATTCTCCCCAGTGCGGCTCTATGACTTTTCTGCCCATTTGATTCCTCATGCTGCTGGGTGTTGACCTGTGAGCGGAACCAAACAGCATCCAGTCGGTGTCCTAGTGGTACCACATGTTGGCAGTACGACCATATGATTATGGTCGCTTTCCTTGTTTATTGTGCTATCAGAGGGCAAGCCAAGGCACTTCTCTCGAAAGGGTGAATTCTTTCCAAAGGCATACCCGCCGGCCCGTATTCATGAACCAGTGTTCATGAATACGATGGCGATGGGTGTTTCCGATTCCGATTCTGGCTATGGCAGCGAGCTTTTAGCTCACGATTTCACCCCGTCATCTCATCTTCTTCACATCGTCCGAAAGCCCGGTGTCTCCCGATCCCCTTACCCACGGGCTTTCACTAGCCCGGCTCGCGACCAGCCCGACTACCCAAGACCCCGATGACGGGCGCCGATGGAGAGCCGGCGCATCGAAAGACACAAGCGGGCCTTGTGCCCGTCTCCGAGAAGCTATGATACCAAGGTGTGATCCGAGGCCCCTTTCTCACCGATATTGGCACGGCATATTGTTCTCCTTTCCTTGGGGCGTGTCGAGAAGTTCATGCATTCTGGTTCGCATCACGGCTGAAGCGCTAGGCGCGCCGTGTCTTCCTTTCTCGATATAGCAATACCGATACTGCGGCTCCCTTCTGCCCCCTCTCCATCGTACCCCTCCTTGGCGGAGACGGACGGCGCTTCATCTCACGATAGTTGCAACGAACGTCGTCCCCTCAACCCTTGCCAGTGTACACATGTCCTCTCCCGCCGGCAAATCGGACTTGAAGTCCCAAACGGGAGGAACGCTAGTTCTTCCCGGCCGAGAGGGTACGCACCACTCACCGAGCAGGGGAGGGGGTGCGTCGTAGCAGGATCTTCGGGGTCTAGACGCGCCGTCGACGGGATGACATGCGGCGCCAATGTACAATGATGACAGGCTGTGCATGATTGACCGCCAGGAACTGGAAGGAAGGAAGATGAGGGCCCTTTGCCTTCGATCCGCGACCTTGGTTGAACCCCTGCGAATCTGGAATTTGGCTGTGTGTTTGGAAGCAAGATGACGACTCGGGGAGGGGGTAGACATTGGCAGAGGATGGGCAAATGCGCATCGCCAAGATGGCCTTTTTGAGTCTGGACCCTGTGCCTTTAGCTGCTTGTCGGTGTGAGGATATGCGCTGTCGGATAATGAAGCGACGAATGCCCACCGATGTTTGCGCTGATGCGAGAGCGTTGTTAGTCTCTCTCTCCCATCGGAAATGCTAGAGGATATGAGGGCGTCACCACCGTTGAGGCTACCACCTAGAGCTCGGCCTCTCGGTAAACGCTAGGCTGAGACCCTGAGACTAAGGGCACAGCGGCAGAACCCTTATGCAGGGTAAAGCAAACGCAACCTTACGTAGCACGCGTAGCAAGCGTCGGACCACAGAGACGAGGAGGGAATGGGGTTTCCGTTCTCAGAGGAGAAGCTACTGGAAGCGCCAAGATGCAGCTTATGAGTGTCATTTACAGCCATAGCACCATGCTTCGCTTTTCATCTCACTTTTTTACCAATGATTGTGAGGGTCCGAGGTCACGAAGCTGGTGATGCCGCATCTGTCCCGTACAACTGCCCCGCTCCGGTACTACGGGACCGTGGGGGTGCGGGAGAGCTTCCGGAAAATTTACTCCGGAGGAAGAAGATTCCAGCAAAGGATGCGATATGCATCCATGGTTGCTCTCGCTTTTCTTAGAGGTTGCTGACAGGTACCTTGGATTTGAAGCTCCGTATTTGACAGATGGCGGCCCACTGCTTGGATGCTATTGCTTGTGGCCTTCCCGGCGAAGACCAGGTTGCGAGTGATGGGGCTGGCTACACCGGTCTTATTGTCCCAAAGCACATAAGCCGATCCTTAAAAACAGAAAGAGAAGTCATGTATATGGCAGCCTTTGCGGCGAACGCTCGTTAGCTTAGACGTCTGAGCTTGAGGATACCTACATCGCTGTCTTAGTACTATCTAGCTCCTTCCAAGCGTTAGGCCGCCTACATCTATTCTCAAACGCAGCTTTCTGTTGATGTTTATGCCACGTTACTCCTGTAATTGATATTGGTATCCTTCAACGCCTCGCGAGAGGAATCAGAGCCCACCAGGTGTAAAACTGAGGTTTACATACAGGAATCTTCTTGGCAATCTATGAGATGACTCAGGCTTTCTTTCACCTATTTCCCTACTCAATCGACATTTCATCTGTTTGGCCTGTTACTCCACTCGAGCGCTTCGCCCAAGTAAAACTATACTAGCGAGTTCTCATTTGAGACTGATACATTAGAGTATCCGAGCATGCCCATCATGAAATACCGTCCGTAACATAAGTACTGGAACGGGTATCAAAACCCCGTCCACTGCCCGCCCCATTGTCGGCCGATCGTGAGATTCCATAACAAAGAGATCCAATTGAACCAGCTTAAGAAACCACTTGAAATGATGCAAATTAGCCTGAACATCATGCCAGCATGCAGCTGCCGTTACACAGCTCTGAATGGGACCTTCCGCAAGGACGCGGCCCCACCGTGGAGCCAACGGCCTGACCCTTAGGGCTCAGGTTCAAGCCTACTTAGGTCCCTACTCCGCTGCTCCTCCCAACCAACTATCACTGGATGTCAACATCCACCAATCCCCGATAGTCTAGTGGTGAGGATATCTGCTTGTCATTGAAGATTCAACGATTCGCAGGGGACCGGGGTTCAATTCCCCGTCGAGGAGTCATTTTTTGCTTTTTTGACCTTAAAGCTGAATTTTATTGCTCTACTGCTCCCAGTCTTTTGTTTTCTTCATGTTTTGCTTCCCCAAACTCAAGGGATGACCCGACGTGGACCCCCGACCGGAATGAACATCATCACGGATTCTGCACGCTCGGCAACCGGTACTTCTCCGAGAACATCGGCGCCCACATGCGCTCCATGAAGAAGCCGACCTCCGGATTCGTCGAATTCGCCGTCTCAAACTCGTTCAGCGCCTTCTGGTACGCCTCCTTGGGCAGCTTCCGTATCGTCTCCCGCCGAACGGCAAACGTCCCGCCGTGCATCGCCCGGATCGCCGGCGGATGCTCTCCGCCCACCACCATCGTCCAGAACTGCGCCGGCGTGTACGACGCAAGCTGCAGGCTCTTGATCTGGTTAGCCGTGATCCACAGCTTCTGCGCCGAGCTGTTCCAGTCGATTTTGCCCCAGTCCGCAACGTCATGGAACAGCGCGTCGTTGAAGGGCGTCACGTCGTCGGCCAGGACGGTCATCGCCTTTTGCACCATCTGCTCTGTCGTGTTTACGGCGGGCGCGATGAGGTCAAAGGGGTCCGCCTGTGTGAAGATCATGATCTCGTCGAGGGTGTCGTAGTTGTTTACGATGTGGTGCAGGTGCGTATGGCCTTCTCGTCCGATGTTGGGAAGGTCTACGTAGGAGCGGAACGAGGAGTGTTGAACGGTGTCGTTCATCTGGGGCACGCCGCCTTTGGAGTAGAGGTAGGTGGAAGCAGCGACGGGCGCCCATGGATTGAGTGATTCTTTGAAGCGCGCGCAGACGATGCCCAGCTGCGACGGGGTTGCTGCGAGGGCCGCGAGGAGCGGTAGGGTGATGGCGACCATTGTTGGCGTTTGGTGCACGTATTCCGACGGGTGTTCGTCTTGGCGGTAGAGGTTTGGATGAGCAGAAGATGCGACAGCCCGCGGCGAGCGAGGTCGTGTCCTCTTGAGCTCTGCCTCCTTTCCATCCCGTCGGTAGGATGGTCTATGCCGTTGAGACCGGCAATCAAACTCTAATTCATCAACAGCAGCGTACTCCAGAAAGCATCCCACCGGTGCCAGGGGAAGTTGGAAACTTAAGGTGTTGACGCGCAATTATAACGACACTTCTTGTCCGGATGGACTGAGTCCGTAACTCCGTCGAAGAACCACCTCAGGCTGAGTACGCTCCTTGTAATTAAAATTCAGTTCAAGTTCGCGTAATACCTGATCTTTACAACCTAGTCAAACAGGGCTTCTGCCTTTGCTCACGACTTGCTTTCAACTAAGCTTCGCAAATCACTTAACTCTAAAGATGTCAGCCTCATAACAATATGAGCTAAATCCTACGTCTGTAGCCGCATTCGTATAGTGTACCCGCCAACTAAGTCGAACGCAAACCGTTTCTTAAGCCTCTCTATTGGCCATTCTGGCGAACTCCATTCACGTAAAGACTATGAAGCGATCACGATTCAAGAAGACTAGCCCATGGCATGTTATCTAGTTTCCTTTCGCAGGTGACTCGGTCTGCGTTAGATCTCGTCTCATGATCATAGAAGGTGCTGTTCAGCGTAGGTGGGTAGATTCACTCCAGGCGCCTTTACAAGAGGTCGAGAAGGACGCCACATGAATCTATCCCATCGAGCGCAGGAAACGTCAAGACAGGATTGCTTGGTAGCTATCAGGGGTTGTAACGAATTAAGTATTATTCCAGCTTACTCCGTATCAAAGCCGTTAAGTCTTATTTCAGCTGGCTGTACCTAAGTGAGCCCCAAATGTCCTAAGATGCACACCACTCCTCCATCAACATCTTCTCAATCTTCATGGCCATGGGCCTATCTCGTTCCGGCACTCGATCTTAGTACACAAACCGGCAACTGTGATCATTTGGCCTAGCGACTTCATGCATCACGGCTCTCGCCATCTCGATGGGCTAACATATCCTCCATGACAATAGCCACCTCAGCTTCATCTTTTGCACTTTCCGCCAGAGTTGCGACCGCATCCGAGATGGAATCCGCCAGGCTGATCGCAGTTGCCCTGCTTGTTGTTGGGGTCGTCGGACTTGTACGCGTTGTGGTTACAGCTGCACATGGAGCATCGATGGTCGTCGTATTGGATGTCGCCGCAGTAGCACTTGACGCAGCCGCCGAAGCAGTAGTGCTTTGCGGTTACGGCAGTTGCCAGTGACAAGAGACCGAGTACTGTTGCGAATTTCATTTCGATTTGTGTAAAATTGCCAACGTCTTGGTGTCTTTGGCTGGCGGGTGTGCTTGTAAAAAGGTAGAAGGAATACAGGTAAAGGCTAGAGGTTCTATTTGGGAGTGTCTGCCGCTTTCAATGATTTCATTGGGCTGTCTGGAGTCGAACCAACATATTATATATATCACATTCAACAGCATGCCTTGATACTTGGAGCAGCTCCATCACGACCTCCCAAAATCTTCATAGTCCGATATGTCAATAACCAAAGTTTGTCAATCTCTCGGTGTGGGCATCTAGCTTTGCGAAGAATAGAGCGAGCCACTATGTGGATGACGGAGAAGCCGAGAATACGGGAGCTAACATCACCAAACACTCCACGATCGTCGCTTGCGGCCCCACCAATTGTGCTTCCGTATTTCTAGCCGCATTCGAATCAATGCAAGGCCTTACGGAAGACAACGACCGACCTTGTAGATTTCTTGCACATTTCCATATCGAGCAAAAGGCGTCTGCTGTAAACCCAGACTTCATAGTCTTTTGGGTCTATCCGTGCTGTCGTTGGTCGTAGTCTACTCGAATTTTCCAAGGACTTGACTGCGAGTCGTGGCAGCGCTGGTGCGGAGTGATTCTGATTTTGAGTTTTAGGAGATAGGTGAGCACGTTCAAGCAAGTGACCATGCTTACAAGTTGCTTGCGGGCCAGTGAAGCGAGAGCCCAGTCATATATCGCGTGCAGATATTATGATTGTAAATTCCTATCCTTGCAGGGCGTCGGTCACTGAGATAATCAACGGCTTACGCAACTTCATTCTTGCGATGGGGCTGAAGGTTTGAAGAGAAAAAGTTGTCGAGCCGATCCGACTTGGCGTTTCTTGACTCAGCTCGGCCAGAATAGCTTACAAGCGAGTCACCTCAAGATTGATGAATAGTCCTTCTTGCCCGGTAAATTCTAATGAACGGCAGTAGAGAATCGAGACTATCGAGTCACCCTCACCGCTGGAATGTTTGGCTGGATGATTCTCGTCCAAGAATCAAAGGTGCATTGGCAAACGCTTACGCAATTGCGGTCACTCAGAAGGCCCAAGGTAACAACGGCTCTGAGAACGAGGACAATAGGAGTGTAGGCGGTGTACGATGAATTATAGATCCATCGCAGCTTACCTTCCACGACATCTCGTAACCAGGATACCGGCGCTCTCGCCTGCTTTGAAGGCATCGTTAAAAGTGACTTGCGTCTTAGTGCTGGGCTAATGTACCCGTCGGGCCCGGTGAGTAAACATAATCGCCGGCTCGTTGAGCCTGCTTACTGGTCAGTGAGAGAACACTAATTTGCATTCCCGTAGGTAAGTCGCGTAAAGCTGTTAACTAAACAGATAAGCAGGCAATATGTGCGACTCATGAACCTGATATGAATAGTGCGATTCAAGCAAAATTTCCAAAAGACATCGGTAGTTCATATATTCTCGTATGCATTCAACATCGTAGAGTGTGTAGTCAATACTCTGCAGAATGCAGCATAATCGGTGTTACAAGTTCGGGGACGGTGTTGTGGCCTGCCACAATCCGCTTCTTGAAGTCCGGGTATTTGATACAAATACGGAAATTACACGCAATCCCCGAGATCTTTTGTTTCTTGCTGGCATACAGGAGGCAGTGATTTTTTAAGATTGTTGACATCGACTGGAGAGAAACCTTAAATGACGTAAAAGCCTGCCTTCGCCAAACTGCCTCATTCTAAATTGATACCGATTTCTCGGATCGCGCGAATATCCTCACAGGTCAACTCTTCTTTCGTTCCCTCAACCTCTTCCAATCGTGTGCGCCAATAGTCCCCAAAGTCTCCTAGGTCAAAACTTGGATTATTCAACCTAACAGAAAATTCTTCCATCAATTCTTCCAAGTTGTCGGCCAAATATCGGTCTTCTTCTTGTATTTCCGCCACTTCCTTTGGGTCCATTATCCATATCTCATCATACACATTCTTGATATTTCTGGCTCTTCTCCTGGTATCGTAATTATACTTGCAGCATGTATGGCTCATACCGAGGAAATCAAACGTCGTCGCGCGTACAAAGTCTAGCAAAGGTTGCTGGCTTTGTTGACGCGAAGTATGCAGAATGGTTGAAAAGACATGCCACAAGTGATCCAATATCCAAAATTCGCTGACATAACTGACATCTCTGGACCAAGCCTTGGCGAATGCGGAGGCCGGACTACATCCTCGGCTTGAGCAATGACAATTGCAATCGTCTCTAGAAGTGTCAGATAAGATTCGTGTAAGGAGTGACTTGTTCTTGACATGGTAAAGAGGTGGGCTTGAAGGTTTTGCCGTTTTCCCAAAAGCAGTGGCCAATCGAAGAAGAGTAGTGGGAGACGCAGACGATGAACATATTATCTCGTTCGAATTGCAGCTGAAAGTAGGGATGGCATGCTTGATGTCGGCCCCGTGAGCATCAAACCAGGCGATAGAGTTCAATAAATCGTCAGGATTGTCCTCGAAATGGTCACCGAATATTCTCATGGTTGCTAGCGGGGTACAACCATTGAATGCGGAGTTGAACCCTTCGAAACCGGAGCGGTATAAACCTTCAGCCAATTGACCATTCATCACCGGAGAATGGTAGATTGATCCAGGTCGAACTCGCTGAAAGATTGAAGGTATGTCGACATTTCTGGCCTGAAGTGCCTGCAGAACTTCAAACGCATTCGCTTGGAGAACAGTTTGTTTCGTTGTGCCTAGGGTGAACAATTCTTCTACCGTTAAGTTTTTCCTTGCGAAACGCAACATCTCTCTCCTGCGAACGGCTAGTTCATCACATAACAAGTCGATAATTTCCTGGCTTTGATAATCAGCGTCGAGAGTAAAAGGGTGTCCAAAGAACGTAGCAGTGTTCTCAAGATCGATGCTGGCTCCCTGTTCAAGCAACAATTTGACGGAGTCCACTTGATGCAAGAGTACAGCCGAATGAATTGCCGTGAGTTGCGTGGCGTCTTCGAGATCAATGATTTGCCGACAGGCATCTCCAGCCAATTCGAAAAGCAGTTGGAGGCCTCTCGGCCAGTAAGCGGCCACATGAAGAGGAGTCAGGTTGTTGTGGCATCGCTCGGTCATGATGGATGACGACGCCATCAGAATTCTTCGGAGAGCCGGTTCCGACTTTTGGAAAATCGCAGAGGATAAGGGACCGTAATCGAAACCTTTCAACGTCATTATCTTGCGGCTAACATAAGAAGACGAGATGTGTTGAAATCAGACTTACCATCAAGATGCCACGAGAAACACTGGTAGATATCAGGTAAAGTCAAAACCTTGTATTCCGATTTAATGACTAGGTATTGTGAATCTATACCGGATGTCAGGCCATCGATATATAGAGCACCTAATTCCACTAATCCTTTTGCAAGGACCAACGAGCCTGTTGATAGATCTTGCGAAGTCCTCTTCGTATGCTCCATGCGCTCTCTTCTACGGAGCTCAAGAAACCATGACAGAGCCGAACTAGGTTTGTTAGTATATTTGAAGTTCACTGGTTGAAAATTGAGAACTGATCTTACCCGAAACACCCACTTTCGTTAAGGGGCACACCCATAAGTACAAGTTCCTTCATGAAACGTACCCAAATCTCGGACATTCGATCAGGCCATGAGTGGCCACGCACATTGATAGCCCTATTTTTTGAAATTAGTACAGCTTAAAGCAGACGATGACATGGCACGGCGGAGTTCTCCTACATGCAGAAGGGTTTGATCGCCGAAGTTGACATCACTTGGCGAGGCTCTGCCGCTGCTGAACAGGCATCTCAGGTCCTTTGACACTGATGATATCTGAGCTTGAAGAGCTTCTGCTGTAATATCTGGAGCTCCACCAACTAATTCATCGACCAATGCAAAAGCAGGTGAGTCATTGGATACCAAGGACCGCGCTGCTATTGCTATTGCAGGATGAATCTGTAAATCTCGGTAGATCAGTCGCCGTGAGTACTGGATTTCCAATTTCCAAGAAATCAGAATGCTGAAAAGTTGGAGCTTGCCTTTTATGGCTCGTTGACTGGGGTTCGTGAAGAAGAGGTCGCAATGGCTGTCGTGCTTGGGGCGACAACGGATAGACACGTCTCGTCGTCCGAAGAAAGAGTCAGCCCTACAAGAACACCCAAAACTCTGAGAAATTTCGTCTTTCGGTACTTCTGAAGAAGGCAAAGTATTCGGTGCATTATCTTCGATTTTGATACGAGACGATGCTTGGGCCATGGCATCACTTGTGAGGAAATTGTCTGCCAAGCAGTCTGCGGTGTCACTCCAACTTTCGTTCTTGCTATGCAGACTCATCCCACCATGTTTCGGTGACGGAGGCGATGAAGGCGAGGAATTCATTGAAACGTCGTCGGCTCCTGGGCTAGACCTCAACGATACCAATGACGAGCGTTCGAGCCCAGCCAGCTTTGTATCAATCACTCTTTCCAAAGCAGGCAACAAGGCAGCTATTTGGCTTGATGTCTTCTGATTTTCATACATGATTAGAGAAGCCATTTTGACGGATTCGGAAATCGCAGCTTCTCGTATCTCATTGGCAAGGTCGCTGGAAACCACATTAGAACTAATCCGAGTGTTCCAGTGGGGAAATTTTACGACATACTGGTTAAGGAGGAGCAAATAACTTGTCATTGCGGTGTAGAACCCTTGCATTTCTGTCTTTAGTCTGTCAAACTTGGCCTTTTGCAAGGGATACAGCAAATGTCTCGCGGCATCTTTTCTATACTCCTTGACTTCTCTTGGCCCTGGTGACCGGGTTTGCTTCTTAGTCAGGCTTTCAAACTCCTGAATGCATCCCTGAGAGGCGTCAAAACAGTTCTTCAGGGACATTGAAAGCGCTGAGTCGATGCGATGACTTGCTTGCAACCGAGTTTGTATCAGCTGAAGGAACGAGTCTAGTCTTTGTGCATGCTCCGTGAGGTTGATGAGATCAAAGTCGCGTGATCTGTAATCTTGGCAGAAGGTATTGATACCTTTGCAGACAGTAAGTCCAAGGGAAACAAGACCCGCAACGCCACTGGATACAGACAGAGGATCCATGGATTAATGACGACGCGGCTTCATGTGTTGACCGGTGGTTGTCGTGGTCTCAAGTCCGTGAAAATCTTTCTGGGGCAAGAAGGGGAATTAAAGAAAATGAAAACGGGGTTGCCATTTAAAGGTCAATGACAGCCCGATTTCATAAGGGTGGGAAGTAAGCAGCTGATGAGGTTGCAGGCTTTTTGGCATTGCAGCTCTGCTGACTATTCTCTTGGTGGTGTGACACAGCGATTTAGTATCTCCCCAAGTGCGTATTGGCAAGCAATGAATGGTTGCCCTATTTCTTTGATTGGATTAGGTGGATTGCGAAGGACCAATCATAAACGCATTCTGTCTGCTCTGTTGGCTTACTGGTGATGCCTTGTGTGGCTGAAAACGCTCAAATCACCTGCTACTGGTTCGGTGTGGTCGGTATTAACCAGATAAGCCTTGCGAGAAGCCTAAAGATTGAGACATATACTTATGTCAGGAAAATCTAGTACAACCGAGAGACAAGGGAACTGTCATCATGTCAGAGTTCTGGGCGGTCACAGTGAAGAAAGCACGGCACAGCAAGTCCTTCGCTACTCTGGATCAGGTGACCTTTCACACAATGTGCCATGAGCATAACATCGAGCAAGGGCTGTGTACTATTTGTTAGTGAAGGCCCGACATGAGTAAATTGACTTTGTGGATGGATAATCAGTTGAATTCTATGATGGTATCTTTTCACTCTATCGAAACATGTGTTGTACAATCTTTTGCCATCCTCCCCATGCTATGTGTAAGGCACACCCATTCCCATCGTCGATGGAACGTGTTCTTTAATGAAACCGAACAAGGCGAAAAATTTACTCGAGGTCGAAAGAGCGGGCACCAGTGTAGTGCTGAACAACAGCGTTGGGCTGGTTGGAGATCTCGAAGTCAGAGTTGGGGAGAAGGTGGGAGCCAGTCTGGTTGCTGCTAGGGGTAACCGGCTGAGAGACGGTGAGGGTGAGACCCTCGGCACTGCGGACGACGTCGAAAGTGCGGGAGGAGAGGGTGCAGGTGCCCTCCTTGACATCGGGGAGAGTGCCGTCGGTGTTGCCGGGGACAAGAGCGGTGCAGTTGACACCGGTGGTCTCCATGGTACCGGGCTGGATGACAGTAAATCCGTAACTAGAAGATTGTCAGCATGTGTGAGAGGGTGTTGCAGAGTTATTAAGACTTACGAGCACTGGGTGCTGTGGGGAATGCAGTCGGCACCGAAGTTGGTGACCTTGAAGGTAACGTCACGCTTGCTGATGGCAGCAGCGGCGGCGACGGAGGCGGAAGCGAGAAGAGTGGCGAACTGCATCTTGAAGGTTGTGGTTTTGGTGTTGGATTGGTGATTAAAGAATAGGTTGATTTGTGAGTTGGTTGTGATTGTGATTAGATGTGTTGGTTGTGTGTGATACAGATCGAAAACAAACTGACAACTTGCGAAGTTGTCAACCTTATATATCACTTTGACTGCAACCGAATCTTGAATAATACGAGGAGTCGGGAGGCTATCCACCGGGGCAATGACGATCGCCAACGGCGATCGGTGGACCCCGGTACTGCCGAACTCGTATTTGACCCGACTCCCGAATTAGTCTTGAGGTGAAACGTCATAGCCTCCAACCCCTATATGACGTCTATTATGCAAAATAAACAACGGAGAAGTCCACTTCCAACTACTCGATAATAGACCTATTCAATTTACAGTTTCCTGCCACACGCAAAATAGGAAATTCTGATGGCGAGAGCGCGCATAATGAAACACATCAACCGCGCCCCCTTACCATAACATGCAGCATCTCCAATACTACGATCACAGCCATTGATCCTGGCATAACATGGAAAAGGGGCTTTCCAACTTCAATTACGGGAACACCTAGAACTCCCTCAAAAGACCCCCAGCCTTAAACTCCCGCATGTCCACAATGGATCCAGAAAAGCCCCCCTAATGACGGGCTCAAGGTTTGGCAGCTCATGTTGTATGATTAGACGAACCCTCGTACGCATAGCCTTTTGATTGGACCACCCCACAACTTTCCCCGCCTCAAGGCACATGATGGGACGATTGTCAACTTTTAATCTATCTATTTTGGGCAGCTTGCAGACAAAGTCACCCCTGTCGCGCGATCATCACTCCCCCAACCTCGGAGAAAACTAGCTCCCCGGAGGCTTCTTTTTCAGCCCAGAAGGTTGACCGAGCGAGCCTTACGCACGCCAAGCTTCTTCCCGCGGCTCAGATGAACCGGGCCAAAGCCGATTTCCCTGCGCGCAGCGTGCAGTTGGCCGACCCCACTCTCCCTGCCAAGCTTGAAGCGTTGGCATGTCGATGGCAGGGGTCTCCTTCTATGCATGACTTGTTGCTTGGCCGAAATCCTGAGCGTGGACTCTCTTGAGGCCATGATTCGTTCTTTCTGTTTATGTTTACTAATTGACCATTTACGCTGCTTGAAGATCGGAAGATAAAAAGTATTATCAGCCTAAAGTTCGAGAGGTTTCCGTCGGCTGCGATTTTGCGGGAAGCCGGGAAGCGAAAGAGACGCAACTTTCTGTCAACTGTCAACTGGTTCGTGACTCCGCTAAATCGTGACTCGAACTCACTGGGCTCAATAGACTTTCCCGTTTGCATTGACAGGTGCTCAACAGGTTATCCAGCTCAATATCTCGTGGCGGTGAGACCTTCACCGATCCTCTCCCTCGCCAGTCTGCGGACGGTGGACCACTGAGTCTATAGGGGATCCACCACTTGTGTCAAGGGGCTGTGGCAATGGGCGATGAGACATCGCTAATGGCACAGGGACACGATAGACCTCGCCTAAGTCGGCTTCGCGGCTACGTTCTATCCCTAAGGAAGAACAAGAAGCCAGCACGTTGAAGCAATTCTCGGTCTTTGAACGCTAAGAATAAGGTAACGTAACGTTGGTTGAGTCGTCGGGGGAATTGAGTCCGACCAACGTCTCTGAAAGGCATGTTCATGACGTCGATGTCTACTTCGTATCCGAATCCGGCAAAACTCGGCTCCCCGTTCGGGGCGCCGGGGTATTCGGGGAAAGGTCTAATGCGGCTTTGGCGCGGCCCGCGACGCCACTTCCTCGATTTCAGGGTTCCCCTCTAGCCGAACTTAGGATCAAGGCGTGGAGCAGCGAGTAGCGTACATTTGGGTCCGCGCCGGTCGAGCGCTTAAGGGAGAGGCGCGAGCTTCTGCGAAAACGTTTCGATCTGCAAGCCATGGGATACACCAGCGGGTATCCTCAAAGGCGTAAAATTCTAAAATAAGAACGTGTGAAAGAGGCTCAGTTGGAGTCTGAAAACTCAAGTTGAACGCACATCGTCTACCCTCACAGAAATGGCTGATTTTAGGTTCCCCGCGGGCAGCGAGGCTTTACCTTGTAAGAAGTCCTTTTAATTATCCATAGCACATGAGTCACGCTAAATCATGCTGCTACCATTGTCTGTTTTCTTACATTTACAGCTCTTCGAGCAATTGTTAGAGATGCTGCATGGTCATATTCTCCAACACAACGGTTTCAGCGCGTGTCTCTTGACTTCGCTGCGGTCTCGTAAGAACGAAAGAATAATTCCGGATATGGATACCTCGTAGTACTGTCCCTTTTACTTCATCCTTTCCCCCTGAATTCTGTATCATGATTATCCACATTCATCGCGGCAAATGGACTTTGCTGGTCGCCAAAGTTGATCCGAAAGATCTCCCCATTTCTTCAGCCCATTCAAGATTTATCATGCGCTAGTATCAGGTCGTCCTCGAAAGCTGCCTCTCAACTTGGCCCTTTCTCTTCCATTTTCGATGGTCCTCACTACCAGTAAGCCATTCAGAATTTCAAATCAATGACATGCTTTACTATCATCTCTGGAAAAGGACGATGTCGAAACATCACTACCTTTAGTTTAGGAGCTGCGAAAGTTACCTTGATACCAGCCTGTGTGAGTTGAAGGATCTATTAGCTGTTTGCTGGCTGCCGATCGTAGCTTCTCAAGCTCTGTGACATTCAGCGGTAGAGAACCTAGCTCTGCTATGGTGACATGATCATGCAACCGATGACTTCACGATTATAATCTTCCTTGTATGAATGGGTCCTTGTTGCGACCTTCATACAACCCTCCTAGATCAGGTGAAGCAAATGATAAGGTACTCGCACAAGAGGAATCACTGCAACCCTTAGTCGCCGTAATGGGGTGAGCAGCCTCTACGAGGATAACATATCAAGATGAGTCAGCTGATGACGCTGAAACTCTTGTTCACTTCCGGCTTGGCTTGAACTTGAGCCTCATTGTCTCAAGTCACGAGGCGCACTGCAGAAACCTATGGTTCAGTCAGCCCTATCACAGAGCACACCAATACAGTTGAGTTATCACGAATCACAGCGTAGCACCAACATCCGATGATAACTTTTAGTACTTTGCCTGTAGTTTGAGACGCCCTCTGTAGATGCGCTAAATGCTTGTGTCCGTTTCTCGGTGCAAATTGCCATCAGGCAGCTACGGACGTCAAATGCGATGTGCCTCGTAGGTAGTCACTAATAACACACGGCGTGACCGCGGCTGATTTGCGCAGTGACCTACTTAATCTGAAATCAGAGCATCGCTAACTTTCTCCAAGCTCGTTCCAAGCTGATAAAATATCGCCAGATCCGTTTCCGTACGCTGTTGCCTTCGCAGTCGCAGCGAAGAGAAACAAGGCTAAAATCAGACATGAAATCACTGCACAAGAACTGCGAAGTTACTCAAGTTTGAGTGCCCCCTTTTTGGAGTGGGGGCAACATCGTTTGAGTCCAATCAAGGTAAAAGTGGACTGAGTGGACCTCGTGAACCCTCATCCTCCACAATCTCAATTCGCGAACACACACAACAGCACCTACCCACCTGTTTCTCAACTTGAGTCTCATTCTCGTCACCAGCCAGCATCCGAGTCACCAACTCGACTCATCAACACCCAGCGTCGATGGTTTAGTGGTAAAATTCTCCGTTGCCATCAAGCAGCGTCGGGGAGCCGGGGGTTCGATTCCCCCTCGACGCATTCTTTTGCTTTTTGCGGTGTTCTGCTATCTGTGAGATGTCCCTTCAAGCTGAAAAAGTTGTCTGTGCCCTTTGTTTAGTCAATTCATGACATTTCTCTGCATGGTAAAGTTGAGTGACGTCTGTATACGTACCTAGATAGGCATTTCAGTTTCGTGTTATGTTGCCTGCGTTCCGCCGTCCTCTCGGTGTCAGTGCAGCTACATATATTGCCAGGCACACCTCATATTTGAAAGCATCTCAGCAAGAGAAAATGGAGGAACTTATCTGATGAATTTTGTTGTTTGATACTGAACGCTGTGACCAAAGTCTTTTCGCTCTTCGCTCTAAGTTCACGTACCGGAGGAGATGCGTCATCAAGAAGCAAGATAGATCTTCAGGCTTATGGGCAACACCAACAAAACCGGGTTTGACATCTCTTCGCCGCATGGCTTCGTTTTTGTCTAGGAAATTGTGTTATCCAAAGGATCCTGAGAACAATGGAGTTAAAGGGGCTGGGCCTCCGGCATGGCCCAGATCAAGCCCCTTGAGCTTCATCCTCACGCCGAGCAGCGAAGCTCTTTTCGTTCCTTCCTCCACAATGATCCTTCTTCACGGCACATAAAAATCAAGCATTTTCAGTCGCCGATCATATATGGGAAGAATCGTTTCGTCACAAAGAAGGCCTAACGGCGTTTTAGAACCATATGGCCTGGCAACAGTTACACGCTTACTACCGCAGTGTGAGTGAAGTCCAGGAGACGAACTGGCCGGATGTATGTGTTGTCAGTAATAAAGTAAATAGTAGAACACAAGCGGCTCCTTGATCAATTTCTTGTGGACAAGGAAAAGGCCAAAACAACAGGAGCCGACCGAGAATTGAACGCAGGAGTCCTGAAGAGTACGGAGTACCACGCAATAGTCAGCACTTCACGGCTTTCACCGCTCGGTCACCAGGCCCGATATTTGCTGTTAAGATGGGAAGGGAACACGCTGGCTATATTCCTAAGGCTTCCAATACTACGATGATTCAGCGACGCATCTGTCACGTATTCCTGGTGAATCTATCAGGCCTGACGTAGGTCGGGAGGTAGCCAACGGGAAGGAACACCTAAGCGGCATGCCTCCTGCCCTAACCATATATGTTTTCGCATCTGTGATTCAAGATGTAGACTCACTGTAGCTCAAATTATAAGAGTTAAGAATGTGTACCGATGCAGGACAAAAGAAAGCTCTACGGCTGTCTTTCCCACCCGCACACATCACGGGAAAAGTCCCTGATGCCACACATTCTTCACCGAAAAGTCGCCCCGTTGCCCGCCGCACAAGGCAACTGACTACCATGTGCAACCCATGGCAATTCCACCCCGCCATCGTGTTTCCCGGGTGCGGTGGAACGTTCCGCACCACCGGGCTGAGTGACAGTCAGCCTATCTGGCAAAGGGCTGAGACATAACCCTGGGCGAAGCCTCGGAACCCTCCGGTTGCAGTAGCGGCGTGAGGCGGTCCGACAGCTTGCATACCGGAGTTCAAGACTAGGGGATCTAGACCGTCGTACCCGAATGGGGGATTTCCACGTTTCCTCTAGGTGCCGTCAGATTAGCACATGGCATGGGAAAGGTGGCATGCGGACTATGGCCAATCAGACTTGTAGGATTTCCAAAAGCCAGAGACATTTAGATTCCAGCTGATGAGGGGGAGGAGATGTGATTGGGGGTCCCCTCGGAGACGCACATGTGCTAGATTGAAGTAGGCTATAAGTTGTACCTGCATGTAAGACTCCTTCGACTAATCCCGTGATCTCAGTCCCTGGTGAACGTAAGTATTGTGCGACGTACTTACCCCTAAAAGCCAGTATTTGCCATTGTGACTCAAGAGCACCAGCCGGGATCTCCAGCGAGGAATCCAAGGGACCTTGGCTTCGCACGAGCAGGAATTCCACCACGAGAGATCCAGGTACTTCATTTCTCAAACTGCCGATGCGGCTTGGTTGCAGGCTTCAACGTTCCGGAAGCGGACCGGCGCGTGCCCGCTAAGCTTCAGCCGCAACCTCCTAAGGCCTAGAGCAGCATATGAGACACCCGGAAACTCTCAATCGTCTTTTCTAGTATCGATGCAGTATTCGCACAATAGGGTCTGTAGGACCCTTACTGCCTAGAAGGTGGCGTACGATCCCTGCTGGACCTTACAGTGAAGAGATAGGCTATAGCGTCTCATCTTTGTTTGCCGGTATGAAGGCGGCGAGCGGATTGGAGTGCCACACAACTTACAAAAGCAGAGAAGCGGAAGCAAAGAACGCCTCACGGTCAGCTTCGAATACGGCTGATGCCACTCAGATGATACTTTCGAGCTTACAGGCTGTGGCGTTCGACGTGTCTTATTCACACTTCAGCTCTCCAACTGAAGCCATCAACAGTCAGCTCGTATCTGCGCTTGCGGAATTCTGCCTATCTATTGCTCGTGTAACTTGTGCTTCCATTTACCTTCATTTAGATGCCATCGATAGTTTCGGGGAAAAACTACTTAAAGATCTATTCTTCTCATCATCATCTCTCGTCCATCTCACCACATAGCTCACCTTCATCCATTACTTCAAAGAACCAAGCATTCCAAAGCAAATTTGCAGTCATGGGTCTCCCAATCACTACCTCCGCCTCAATTAGCGTCCCAGAGGCCAACTCCTTCGGAGCCACCGTCCTCCAGCCACAAAGCGACCACAACTCCAACGGCCGTGGCGGCTGCCCGTACCTCGCCAACGCCCACAACAACGGCACTCCGGATACGACCCATGCCAACATCACTCAACAAGTAACGCCAGCAGCACCAGCCCCGCCGTTGGGAATCTTGAAGAAGCTGGAGAACCGCACCTTCACCGGCAGGGGCTTCAACACTATCTTCCGCCCTCACAGCACCACCTCTCCTACTGTATTGCACGTCACTCCCGTGTTGAAGCCGCCCTTCATCCCGGACAACATCCTCCAACTCAACATCACGCATGAGACTCAAGTGTTCGCTCCCGGTCTCGGAGATGTTCCCAACCGTGGACTGATGGAGCAGGAAGACATTGAATTGAACGGCGTTCCTTACACGCAGACCATTCATGATATCACAGAGGCGAAGACGAAACCTCCCGTCATCCACTTCGAGCCCGGTCTCTGGATGCACGTTCCCGCGACCACTATCCCCAACCTCAAGACCTCTCTTGCTCGCATGGCTTCCATCCCGCACGGCACCACTATCAATGCCCAGTGCTTCTCAGAGCCATCCTTCAGCCGTGGGAAACCAATCATCCCCAAAGTCGACATCACTCCTACCAGGCTCGATAACGGCGACCAAATCCATTTCCCTAGTCAAGACGTAGAAGACCCTGCCACCTTCCGCCTCCCCCAAGACCTCCATCCGTTCTTGCAAGCCCGTACAATCACCAAAGAAATGGTCAAGGACCCCAACAGCGTCCTGGAGCTGGCCAACAAGGGTAAAGATATCATCGAGAACACATCCTACAAGATCACAACCAAGCCCGAGGGAACCAACCTCGGCGGCGGCACCTCCAACATCGGCTTCCTCGTCGGCGACGGCGAACAAGCCCTCGAACTCCCCCGCCGCGCCAACGCAAACGCCACTGGCATGGAAGCCCAGTACTGGATATCCACCGTCCGCACAAAGATCCACCTTGAGCCGTGGAAGGGACCCTCGGAGCACCAGCGGTGCAAGCACTTCTCTCCGCTGCCCCTCCGCGAGGGTGAGGAGGTGCCCGTCTTTGAGGTCCACTTCCCGATCCCGCAGGCAAAGACGGTGACCGTGGAGTACACCCAGCTCCAGTACACGCAGAACGTCGCGCTGGACTTTGCAACGCTCCGCTGGCCGCATGTTACTGTTGGTACGCTTATTCAGACAAGTCCCATCGTGTTGCATGCTTCCATTTTGAACCAGAAGGAGTGAGCTTAGAACTTGTATCTGGGGATTCGACCATGTTTACGAGCCAATTACTTGTTAAGGATTTCTTTTGTACACTCGGGACGGCATGGGCTTTATTGACTGGGCTCATGAAAAAGGATACTTGTACCGCAGAATGAGAGAGCTTGCTGACAGCGGCGGAGAAGTTGAGCTAGCCGGGGTATGTCGCACAGAGAGCCACCTAATACAATTCGATATCCAGCTTACTTGATATCCCTATTCCCGTGTGCCGTCATTTGATTATTTGACCGGTACTGCTTACTCACACGCCTTCATCACCGTCGAAGGCTTTAGATCGTTGGATACATACACATAAATCTTTCAGGTCAGGAGGTGGAGCAGTGCCTTTCGTAGAAGGCAATGGTGGTCCTGGGGAATAGTCTGCATAGTACACCTGTCTCAGGCAATTTTGTGTTCAGTCTACTGCACTGAGTATACACTATCGAGGGCTTTTGTTCGAATACATCAGGTGTGATGTTCCTATCCAAATGAGAAGTTTAATTTTTGACTCGTTGCCTAATAGCTATGCCCTGTAACATTTCAGGTTCGTCAGGAGCTGCAATTTCAAGCCAAGCTCGCCAATCAGTGAACATTGGAAAGGCGATCTCTTATCTGTTCGTAGCCCCGTATTGTATCATCTAGCCTACCAGCGTCTTGCTATGTTTTTACTCGATCAGAGGTGCCTCTCTAGTTCGTCGCGTTTATAAGAGTCCATTCAAGTTCTTTTTACCAAATGTAATGAAGTCGCAATACTGTGGTCTATGCAATTCTCTTGGTCTGTGACTATACTACCCCAGTTTGGGGATTGCAAGACAAGGTGGCCTTGATGGCCGTAGCGACAGATACTTTGCTCAATGTGTATGATAGAATGGGTGCGAGCCTAGGTATCCGTACGTGAACGCGTCTTGTTGAACGGAACACTGACTCGGCTTAGAAGACGTTAACGGTCAAAGTAAGCGAGCCGAAGTGGTGCGCAAGCCTGCAGAACTACAATATGTAGTAGTAACACAGATCAGGTCGAATGTAACCATATGCCACCACCACCAATGACTTTACGCCAAGAAGATATTCTGCCTTGTCACAGAGGCATCTTGAGACTGGCACTACCATAAGCTGGGGTCGGTGTCACCGAATAGCCGTGTTGGCAGCGCACGAACTACATCAAATGAGCCGGGCTTACGTCTACTGACTAGAAGAGTGGGATACTGATGGAGGTGATCTATGCACTCACTTGGAATCCCGAATGTCACGATCCCCCATACTCTTCAGGCTCGAAGTTAAGCCCACCATGAACATTTAAGAGCCTGTATTCGCGCAGAGCTGTGATTCGCAAGCTGCTTCTCTCTTCCAGCTGAAGCACGATTCATTGCCCCGCATCTTACGTTCTCATCAGCCATGCAGGCCAACGAAGAACAATCCCAAGCTATGTCTCCGGACGCTCATCTTCAGCAGCCAGTTCCGATGGTCTCCTCTAATCAGTGCTCTCCGGAGAGCGCAAGTGAGGTGAAGCGGTCCGCATCGCCTCGTCTGGGAACTCCGCCTGCAACACCTCATCCGACCGCTGCCACCGAGACTCATGAATCTACAATGTTGAATCCTGAAGCCGAGATCATGGCGAGCGAGACAAGCCCAGTCTCGTCTCAAGAAACTCGCAGCATCAATCTTAACTCGCACCAAAATGACAGTCTCTCGATTCTAGGCGCGGGAATCCGAAGAAAACCAATCAGTATCACCACTTACACTAGTGCTCAACAGACTCCAGAGGAGCCTTACGAGAGCCCGCAGCCTACGAGTGCTAGTGCCGAAAGGCTTGATGAAATCAAGAGAACTTCCGAGGTCTTGAAGCCGACTTGGAAAATATGGGCTCTCGAGATGTCTTGCATTGCAGTTAGTACGCTTCTCTTGGCCGGTAAGTATCAGTGCCCCTTGGTAAGTTCCGACTGCTGATTTCAAGACACAAAGTCATCATTTTCGTCCTTCTCAGATATGATTCGCAAGAGCAACCGGACTGGCCGCTTGGGGCTACACTGAACTCGTTCCTTGCTTTATTCACCACCCTAGCCAAGGCGGCCTTCATGGTACCTGTCTGCACCTGCATCAGCCAGTCACAATGGGCTTGGTTCAGCAAAAATGGTGTATCTCGACCTCTCTACGACTTCGAAGTGATAGATCAAGCAAGCCGAGGAGCTTGGGGCTCCTTGATACTCCTTTGGCGATTCCGATTCCGGCATTTTGTGGTTCTGGGAGCCCTCCTCACCGCTATCAGTGCTCTGACATCGCCAATTACACAGTTATCTATCAAGTACTCGTTGAAAGAAGTCCCTGTCGCAAAAGAAGCAACAGAAAGCCAGGCTACCACGCTAGTCGTCCGAGACCTCATGTCAACCAGGGACAACCTCGGTGCAGCAATCCGTTTCGCTATCTACCAAACTTCCTTTCAAGACTATGAGAAGTTTGAGAAACCATTACCATATGCCGCCATCGACACCAACGCAACGTTTTGTTCAACAAGCAACTGCACGTTTGATCAATATCAATCACTTGGTATCTGTGTAAAGATGGCGAACATAACGTCTTCACTGAAAGTTGAGAGGTTCGCAGACGGAAGCATGACAGAGACGCCTGTATTAGGCAACCTGCTCCTGCCAAACAGCAGCGTGTGGAAGCTTTCGCTTCCTGGTGGCTTTACATTCGACCACCAAAGCAAGTTTGCATTGTTCACAAGCATGCTGAACGGTAACCACACGATTGCATTCCAACACAGACCAGCTGTACTTCGAGCAAGAATCGCATCATTCTTTCTGATTTACACTACGCCGATACTGACTGAGTCAGACAAGACCTGGTGGGAGTCTCAGAAAAATCTGTTTATGTCAATGACGGAGGCGCATGATCACGTTCACAGTATTGAGCATGAGGCTGTCGAAATTCTGTTCCATTTGTGTGTGCAATCTTATACCACTACAGTTCAGCTGGGTAGGGAACTTACCCTCTTTGAGGACGAATTCACCAAGCCTGTTGGCGAAGACGACCAAACATTTCTCGATATGGATTGTCCATCATTGCTTGACGACGACCCAATTGCATGTAATGCGAAGCCGAACCGTTGGAATGAAGTTTTAAGTCTCAAAAGTCCGACAGGAAGTAGATCTCTTCCAGCCAAGCATTTCCGAAATGAAACTAAAGAGTTCAGCGCAAATTATCAAGCAATGGAAGCGATCTCCCTATATACGATGAGCTACTTCACAGGTTTTGCATTTTTGGTCATGCATCCTACTATCAAAACACTTCTTCCAGTCCGGATCAAAGGTTCGGGATTTATAGATACGCTTCACTCACTGCTGTTCTCACAATTCATCATACCAACCCCTGAGCGTCGAAAACTTTGCCTCGAGAACATATACAAAAATGCTGCGACCCTAATGTCTGCTTCGTAAGTCTAGACGTGGTTGCTTCCCGCTTGCTTCATGTATCATGCGGCAGCTAATCTGGGAAGCAGATTTCGAATGAATCGGCCTTACAATCAATGGACGAAAGGCGTGTTCAACGTTCCCGGACAGGCAACAACAATGGTCACATACGTCAATATTAGGTGGCCTTGGGTGATGTTACTCGCAGCCGAGATCGCGGTTTCGACGGTGTTCCTCGTCATTACTATCATTTACTATACGGGAGGCTCGGACTCTCAGTATAGAGACCTCAAGAGCTCATCGTTGGGCACTCTTGTCGCTCTCGGTCCAGACTGCCACACTGCGGCGGGTGGAGGTCTTCAGCCTGTCGATGCCTTGAAAAAGCTCGCGAAAGGGGTTCAGGTTCAGCTCATAGGGAACCAGATTGTAATCGCCGAGGATGAGACGGGTCAGACTCCCTCACAGGAGACGGCATGCGGCGTGTCCTGCGTTGCAGAAGGTGCTTCCAAGGAGTCGGATTGCACTCAGGGGTAGAAGTTAGGGTGGTCAGCGTTTTCTAGAGGGAAATGAGGAGCATGACTAAACAAAGGCTTGCGGAAAGCTTGATCGCTCAGCGGGTATTCAGCGGTGGCCGGTATTTCATCTGTGAAGATTGAGAGTGGTATTCGGCTGATGGGTCTCTGAAGGCTGAAGCCAGGTGTAACCCCCGCTTACGCGTGACGGCCATTGTTAGTATAGGTACAATTTGAAGAACGGCATCGGATATGGCGTGATTTACGATCAAGGCTGATTTTCGCTTTTGGAACGGGCAGAAATCTGGGTGCTGCGATGCCAAGTGCGGCCTATAGTAATTATCAACTCGGCTACGATGGTAATGCCGTTGAGGTGAGAGCTACCTAAGGTCACGCTGCCGTACTTTTTCAACCTTCTGGCCTGCGCCATGCCAGACTTTAGAATCCTGAGATTGTCGAGGCAGCTGTTGAAGGGCTGAACAGTCGGCTGTAGCATATAACCAAGACCATTGACGAAGTGGTGCTAGGCGGGCGGCACCGCCCTGAGAAGACGGCTGTGCCGCTGCTAGCAATCACTTGGTGCAAGTTACGGTAATGACCAAAGACCAGGTCCGCCATCATAACCGATGATCAATTTTTCATGCATACTGAACGTGTATCGCCGTCTGAAGACATAAGAGAATTCAAACGACCCCTCTTCCCTTTCCTGCTTCAATACTCTCCGCGTAACTACATTTCCCTATAAAGAAGGTTCTCTGATAAGTTTCAGGCTCTAAAAATTCAGGGGCATCGGAATCCGCCAAAAGAATGGCCATTGCGTTGTCACGCAGGTACTCAGCCAACTCGCTTGAGCGTTGACGGCGTTGCATAAGCTCACTTGTATCAGTAGCAACTACGAACTACTTGATAGGAACAAGCCCAGAGCAACCACGCCTCGTCGCCCTCTGTGTATTCCGCTATGAAACCACCGAAAGGGCGGCCCATCAAGAACAAGAAGCAGCACGATATCTCCGCCTCTTTCCACTTTGCCCCCGCGAGGGAAACTTCGCCGCGGTATGGGATCGAAACAGACCATCTGCCATAAACTCTAAGCTTCAGCTGAGTAGTTGCTTCATGTTGCTTCCTCAAAATGGAAGAAGCTGCAGCTTCTCTGCTCAAGAAAAGAATCCTAGCAAACCAGCGCAGAGGGGTGTCCTTTTTATACGCCTCAAAGACTCAGTTCAAGGTCTGAATTCGGTAATGAGTCTTCTCGAGAGGAAGGCACCATTCTAGGGTTGACAAGGCGTCTACAACAAGGTAAGTAAGCACCACGGCAAGTTTACCATGATCACATACATAATAATTTCGGCAAAACGCTTCAAATTCCAAGATAGTCACACCTAGATCTTCACCATACATCCCATCTACCTCCTGTCTTCTAGAAAGGCTACATATTGACCCTCAACTACATCCCCTGACGAACACAGCAGGCGCTAAAGCTATGTCTGCGCAGATGATCAGGCTGATTAAACTGAAAACAGATACCTGAATGAAGTCAAGAGTGGCTTCAATCAAGAAGCGCGCTGGCCAAACCCAATCAGAGGCTTGAGTTATTATCCCCCGCCCTCCCTCCTCCTTCTCTTATAAGAGTCCCGATATGTCACTGTGGGCGATAGCAGGAACCCATGAAATGGCGCTGATACCGCGAAGATCAATATGTATGAAAAAGGCTTGATTTTGAAGTACGCCCCCCTCCCTCCTTACTTCGCACCTCTCCCCCTCTCTAGAACACCACGCCCAACACCACCAGCTCAAACTCAAACTCAGCAAAACACCCCTCTCATCTCCCCCCCCTTCAACCGCGCCTCGGCCACCGGCGGAACGTGGATTGGGGTATCAATTATATATAAATCCGCACCGGTGCCTGGCCTACGCCTCCTTCTCCCCTCTCCTTCCCCCCAACTGTTCCCCCCTCAATTCAACCTCCGTCTCCCTACTCGGAATCCGCCCAACCCTCAACCACCTCCATCGCAACACGAGCTTCTCAGCCACGGCTCGCATTGCCTTTTCCCCCATCAAAACCCCTCAGCCACGAAGACCCCCGTCTCTTCTCACTCGTCCCGCTCTCTCGCCCGTCAAGATATTCAACCTCAACACAGCTACCAACAAACACGAATGCCCAAACTCCCCCAAGAAGAAGCAAACGCCAGGCATGGAGAAAAGTCAACAGTGAAAAACGCCTGGCGACATGGAAAGAAGAAAACACATTGCGCAGAGAAGAAAAAAACAAGGAGCAAGTATATATGGATGTTCAAAAAAGTTGACAATTTTTCTGGGTGCAATCGCTAACGATTATACATTTTTGATAACCGGGGGGAATGATATTGGGGCAAGTCTTGAGGGAGGATAAGACACCCCGGCCTCCTCAACTGCCTTTCGATTTTTGGGATGTGAACCACGGCTCTGCCGGAACACAGTCCATGAATGTTTGGATGTTCAATAAACAAGCTCCTCTCCGTTCTGGTTCGCAGTACAGCTTCTAAAACACAAAATCCCCGTCACTTGGCGCGTCTTCCACAGAACCTCCATAACTATCAGGTGACGCGCACACGTCGGATCGGGGATACGGTTGTCGCTGAGTGGCGAAGCTGCTGGAGGACGCTCGGTAGGGTAACAAAGAAAAACTTGGACCGCGGTGCTGCTCTCAAGTGCATTGTCTCCGAAAGACAATGCAGTTGCCTGGTGGGAATATTTCGATAAATACATCTAATTGATCGGCCGATGCTGTGAATGGAATTAAGAGACTCATAACGTCGTTGGAGGCTCGCCTCGCGGTTGAAAAGGGGGTATGTTGGTGTGATGCAAGCACGGGATATACGGGGGTGGATGGCAAAGTCGAGTGAGGCTGGTTACATGGTAGCCACCGCTCACATGACGAGACAGCAGCCGCAGCCTCCGCTCTTCTTCTTCTTTTCGCCGCCCATGGACATGTTGGCCGCAGCGGAAGGTTGTTCGGGTACGCGGACGACGGTCTGGGTCTCGGCGGGCTGCTGGGGTTGCATGGTCGGGCTCAGTGGGCCACGAGGGCTCGGCAGCGGGCTAGTCTGGGGTTTATCGGAGATTTTGGGCATGGTCGAGTACGAGTTGGTCTGCTTGATGCTCGGCGACGTGGGGCTCTGCGCCGTGGGGCTTTTGGGAGCGTCACCTCTGAGCGGCCACTCGTCTTGCTCCTGCTTCTCTTCTTCGGGGGGTGTAGTGCTTGATCCAGCTTCCGGTGGCTTGAGAAGACCGTCTGCCGTGAGTGGACGGAACTCCTTGTCGTAGATGCTTCCGTATTTGCCCTCCCGTTCCCATTGCTCCTGCTGCAGACGCTTGGCGACCGTCGGGAGTAGTTGTTGATCAGGCGGCAGACGAGGGTCAGGACGGTAGGACCCGACCATCCATGGCGGGTCGCCCTCTGGCTTCTTGACACCGGGAGACAGGTCTCCAGATCGCGTTGTCGGTCTGTTCCCAGATATACTGCTCGTAGAATCCTTGCCACCACGTGTCTTAGTCTTTCCACCAGCCTTGATCTGAGTCGAGGTCTTCCTGGTGGTGCTGGAGGTGCCGCTGCCTTTCCGGGGAGAGATGTCGGTGTTGTTGCGCTTTGCGGGTGCTAACGTTGACGTCGCGCCGAGCGTGTTGGCGCTACCGCTCCTCGGCCTCGGTTTCGGGTAGGCTATCGTCTCGAGCTCGCTGCCGCCGCTTCGTCTTCGTCCAGAGGGCGCATTCCTCTCCAAGTAATACTCGGGTATGGGGGCGGGGCTAGCCTTGGCGACAGGAATCTTGGAGCCGCTCTTGTTCTTGTCACTAATGGAAGTCCAGTAGGCGTCATCTCCTTCGACAGCGATTTCCTCGGGCCGCCGAAGATCCCAGCTAGGCAAATCCATGTCCGGCAAAGTCTCTTCAGGGACTCTGCTTTCCGGCGAAATTGAGCTTTTCCTAGATCTCGGCAGAGGTATTTCGTCGTCAGGCGGGGCGGATGTGGTCCTCCTGGAGCTCCCGTTAAGCTTCTCCTCACTACGGCCTCTGCGCGGTTTGCTACTCGCACGCGCCCTCGGCAAGACAATACCTGCAGCCTGGAGCTCTTGACTCTCAATCTTGGCCAGCTTGTCCCGGTGAATCCACTTGTCGTCGTCAGAGACGGGTATGTCGTTTGTCGACCGATTCTCGTCAGACCCAATTTTCCCCCCGAAAACATCGTCCGCAAAGTTGCCCGATTTCGACGTGTCATGGTCACGACGGTTTGTCCTGTCCCATGATCTTGTGCTTTTTGTCAGAGATATGTTGTCGTTGGAGGCCTTCTTCCGTGGGGGAGGCAGAGGCTCGAAGCCGTATTCGTAAATGTTGGCGGAGCTGCCGTTTTGCGATAGGGGTGGCCGGCTGTTTTGATCGGTTCTATCGAGAGACCTCTTGTTTTGAAGGTTCTGCAAGACCTTGTCAGCATATTTACTCGCAAGCAGCCTGGCCAAGGCCAATTGGAAAAAGAATTGCATCAGAATTGCCGTGTCGCCACGACTGTAGCTGTCTTACCTCCGTGTCTGCTGTTGTGTAGTTGTTCCATGCACCTCCGTTTCCGTGGCTGCTGCTCGGGGGCGTGATTGTGTTGGCCGTCGCTGACGCGGCGGACATGGCGGCCATCGCGTGGTCCGGAGAGCTGGAGGGACAGCAACCTCCAGACTCTGGGTGTATGTGGACTGAGAGGAGGTTGTCGTCAGGTCCAGCAGCAAGGCAGGTCTCGTGATTTGTGTCGGGCCAAGGACGACGAGATGGGATGGTGGTGCTGCAACAATGGCAGTGAAGAAGTGAAGCTGGAGCTGGCGGCGCTGTTGGACGAGAGCGGGAGATTGGGATTGGGTCGCCGGCTTTGCGTCTAGCGTGGTGTTGGTAGCTCTTCCGGCAAAGCGGATTATTAGGAGGCGCTCACGAAGCGCGACGGTAAAAAAAGGTCTGGGCAGGACGATCAGGGTCAGGGTCGCCTGAGTCTGTGTCGAAACAAAGGAAAGCGAGTAGAAGTAGCGTCAAGGCGGGATGTAGCGACCGGAGGACGGGGTCGGGAGAAGGAACAACGAAGGTGGTACGTGGTAAAAGGGCTGTCGAATCGAAATGGGGGAAATAGTATAGAGGAGAGGGCCTTTCAGCGGGAGGCCATTCGCAGCGGCGAGTACGGTGGTGGGAGGAAGTGGTGGTTTGACGAGAGCTGTTTGGGTGTGTATGGCGTCCAGTCTCGTCTCTCTGTCTCTGCTGGTGGCCGCTCTCAGCGTGGATTCCACAGTGCCGGAGTGCAGAGCAACGCAACAAGAGGGAAGAGAGACACAAAAGCGAGACAATGGACAAAGACGGGGGGGAGTGAATGAAGTGGATGGGAGAGGAGAGAAGTGGAGGAAGGCCGCACAGTCGCACACAGAAAGCACAGTGCGCAAGGCAGTGCCAGAATTTTGATGTTCACCCCAGCTGCAGCAGTACGTACTTTTTGGTCTCTTGACGCTAATTTGGAAATAGACTAGCCTTTTCTCATCTGAGGAAGTTGGTTGGTCAGACCCCAGCGCAATCCAGGAGAGAAAAGACCCACATGTGCAAGGCGTGGGATTCCCTCTTTCGGGGAGCCGCGGTCGCTGATAGGAAGAAAAAAAAGAACAAGAAGTGGTTGAAGACAGCGAATAAGAAAGGGAGACAAGAGTTCTGGCCCAATGCAGGCCGTGAGATATTGGAGGGGTTTTTCTGTTTAGAATGAGAAGAGGGAGAGGGGGGAGACTGGCACCGTATTACGGATAAGATTAACAAGATATGCTGCCGGGAGTAGAGTTGCATCTGGCAATCTTCGTCCCAACTGTGCATTTACCTTTGGGCTCCCCCAAATGTTTCTGCAAAAAATCACGGATATGCTCGGACTGAGAGGCTGGCTCGGAAAGCATCAGGTAGTCAGCAAGAGAGATGTCACTCTCGTCATTCGATAAACAGTTTGTGGATGAGGGGAAGGAGGAGGGGCGAGCAGCTGCCTACATAATCGGTATACGAAGTACTGCGTACCTTGGCTCACCATACCTAAGGTACCTTACCTACTGCGTACAGCTGCCCATTGGACAACAATGCCAAAGACCAGCAACGACCGCTACATGCGCTTGTTACCGGTGTGTTTCTTCCTCCCGACAGACAAACGCGCGAATGCAAGACGTCTGCGCCTCTCTGCCTCCAGAGGGCCAATGACGAATGCCAGACGTCTATCCAGAGATTCCAGACATGTACCTAGAAGGGTCCCGTGCAACGGCCCACATGTTGTTCGTGTGACACTGACGCTGCATCGCAGACCAGACAAAGAAAGGTGTCAATGGCACGGCGTTGTTCAGAGCGAGGGAGAGACATGACGGGAGGTCAAACCGTCAAAGGTGCTGCAAAACCGACAGGTGAGTGGCGGACAGGCTGCAGGCGCATACTCCCAGACTCCATACAGGTGGAGGGAAGGGATGCAGTGCTGTCAGTGCATCACTTGCGCTCGGACAGCTTACTCTTGAGCTGAGCTGGGCTGGGCTCTTGCTGTCCTCCCTTGATTTGAGATACTGAGGTTATTCCCGTGGTCAAAATCGATATTGACGGCTGGTTTCCACTACGGAGCCGCAAGCGACGTGAGGATACTCCATACGCAAAGAAGAAAAAGGAGGGTGACCCCTCATCTTCCAACACGGTACTCCGTAAGTTCCTCGTAATTGCGGTGGAGTTGGGGCCGTTGAAGAACGATGGGTCGAACGGCCGGGAACGGTGTGTGTTGCACAGCAATGCTTGGAATGGAACGTGGGTTTGGTCCCGTTGGTGGCCCTGTTGGAATGCCAGCCGCGGGCACTTGCAATGTTTGGTATGGCGGATATGCTTAGCATAAGTGATAAGCCAGACATCGTCATCTGTCAATCCAGGCTCATCCCATCCAGATCAGCTCAGCTAACCAGGACCCAAATTCAACGTCACCCATACGCAGTACCCGTCGGGCCGTCAGCGAGATCGGACTTTTGATGAGTTTGTTTATTTATATCCACGTCGTCGTCATTCTGGAAGAAGAGTTTGTTCGGAGTTGTTGATGCCAGCCCAGACAGAATTGTGTTTGGGGATATGTGCGTGAACAAAATCAAATCCTCAGGCGAGCAAACTTATGCTAAGGTAACGTCCCTGGCTATTTACTTATGTAAGTTAACCATGGAGGAAGGCGCACTGTGCCGGCACCATTCTAGACCCCCGAGGCCAAAGAACCCCGGCACTGGTCATTTGCGCCTCCTGGCGGCCCTGGCCCAGGCAATCAATCCCAGAAGCCGCCAACCAGGAATCTCAACGGTCTGTGTGCTGTGCCTCTTGCTTTTCAATTTCTCACTCATTTTTACCTTGGGGAATCTAGAGTGAGAACGTCATTTTTCAATTATCTGCCTCTTTAGTTCTTCCCCCGCCACTGGAATTGGTAGGTATCAAGATCCTCACGAGAGGAAGAGAAGGTGGCTGATGTAGGTACCTATTCTCTTCCTTTTCGTATATGCGCCTGACGTTTTCAAACCCCCATTCCGGGAACTTTACTTTCTTTTTCGACCTCGCTTGCAGACCGTTTTGTCTCTCCATCTGACCATTCGCATGATACCGACTGCTGCCCTTTTCTTCTTCTACGGCAGCAAGCCTACCTATCTGGATTCACAACCAGACCTCACCTCACAAACTGGGTGCAATTGGGGATGCGAGTCAACGAGATCCCTTCACCGCCGGTACACCCAATGGCGGCGCTTCGTTTCTCCTGGGATCTCGCATGACCGAGATGGGGAGGTACCCAAGTACCTTACCGGCCCCACACCCGATGATTTCCCACGTCTCCGACCAATTACGCACACTTGATGCACTCCGTACCTTCACTACGAACATTGGAGGCATCAATCTCACCTTTGGTCCGTCATCCATGAAATGACACAGAGCGGCCACACCGAACAGACGTTCATCCATTCCACACATTGAAACCCTCCCCTATTTTTCCTTCTAGAAGAACGACCAGGCTCATGCCCTCATCTCTCGCCACTTTCTCCTCTGCACCTTGGCTTTGAAACTGCAGGGGACCCCGAATTCTCAGATCGCCCTTTCCCTGATAATTTCCGAACGAATCTGGCCGCTGAGGAACAATTCACAAGGAAACGTATCATCTACAAGGCAACAGCTTTCAAGCTCTGGGAAACCCACGGTACTGGAAGGAATCCCGGGCTACAACATACACAGATTGGAGGAAGGCGGAACGCACGGCCTGCGCGATCCGGTGCCGGGCTGCCTTTTCGTCCTCATGAATTATCCCGGCCTGTTTCAAGTGAAGCACTGCGCACAAACATCCTCATTCCGATTCATTAAGACAATCCGTCTTTCTTGGCCCCCTATCCTCTCACGTGTCTATTCGTAGAGATACTCGCTTCACACTGTCCTTGAATATCCTGAGATCACAAACATACGGATAATACGAATACCTTGGCCTTCATCATCAGCACAAATTGGCTCTTTATCCCCATCCAGAACCTTATTGCCGTCTCCTCCCCCTAATTTGCCCTGGTACCACCGCACCCTCGTCTCTCGAATTTCGAATTACACCAACGACACGCGGTCCGAACTCTCCATCGGCCCCATCATCTGCCGGCCGCTACTCACCTCTCAGAGCCCGCCCAAGCACGGCCCCCGGTCCATGACTGGCCCCTCCAATATCGCCGGGATCATGGACCACACCGGCACCTCTGGCCACCCGCAACCGCAGCCGCGAGCGCAACGCCAGCCGGTCCTGCGGAGGACCCGGTTCGTCTGCGTCTCCGACACTCATAACACTACCGTCAAGTTGCCAAAGGGCGACGTGCTGATCCACGCGGGGGACTTGACCAACCAGGGCAGCTATTCCGAGGTACGTGCCCCATTCGTGCCATTTCTTCAAGTGTATGTAGACATCGGAGAGACAAGAAGGAAGTTCCCAGTTGTCGACACAGGTACTTACCCGTTCGGGAGCCATGTGGGAGGCGCTCGGGGAGAGATGAGCCACTCTGTTATAGTATCTGGGTTCATCGTGGCAACAGAATAAACAAAATATGGACTCGCCGGTGGCGTTCGCTTGCTTCTGCATGTACCTTATTTGGACAGTGTAACTGACGCCATCGCCAGTTATCCAAGGCAGTCCAATGGCTCGAAAAAGCAGACTTTGAGACCAAAATCGTCGTCGCAGGTACGCACAATGTCGGTCCTCCCCTCAAACTTCTTCACCTCAACAGATGTATACGCTCTACTCCTTCACGTCAGAATACTCACTAAACGGCCGCCCAGGGAACCATGACATATCCCTAGACGCAGACTTCTACTCTCAACACGGATCTCACTTCCACAACCAGACACCGCAATCCCCCCAAGACTGCGCAGCCCTCCTCACAAACTCCCCCTCAATAACCTACCTCGCCCATGAATCATCCACAATCCGCCTCTCTTCCTCCTCAGGACCACACACCTCCTTCACAGTCTTTGCCTCTCCGTACTCACTGCGCAACGGCCTCTGGGCATTCGGCTACGACGCTCCTCAGCACGGCAGCGTCGCCGCCGCGGCGAGTGATCTTCCCACGCTATGGGATGATATCCCCCTCGAAGCAGACGTCGTCGTGACGCATACCCCGCCACACACCCACTGCGACGAATCACGCGCCCGGCGCGCAGCGGGATGCGAGGCCCTGAGACGGGCCTTGTGGCGCGTCCGTCCGCGGCTCGCTGTCTGCGGACACGTTCATGAAGGACGCGGCGTCGAGAGGGTGCGTTGGGATCTGGGCTGCGGCGGTTCAGCTTTCAAAGAAGAAGGCGTCGAGCGCTGGAGCGATCCGGGTCAGGGGAACAAGCAATCCCTAGTGAATCTGTCACTCAAGGGCGGGAACCCCCTCCGCAACGACGGATCACATCCGGAGGGGAACCCATCCGACGAGGCTGCGGGCAGGAGAACCCTCGGTCCATCTCCGTCTACCCCCGGAACGACGTCAGAATCCGCCGCAGAGCCGGGCCTCGGCACCCACGGCCTCGGCGGCGATCCGACATCACCCCGCACCGACGTCGCCGCGCTCGCTGGACGCCTTGGCCGGCGGGAGACGTGCGTCGTCAACTGCGCCATCATGGCCAAGAGTTATCCCCACGTCGGCGGCAAGACGGTCAACAAGCCTGTTGTCGTGGACCTGGATTTGCCGTTGTGGGAGTGGGATCGCGATGGGATGCCGCGGCTCGTGTATGCGGATTGAGGGCCTCAATGAAACACAGAGGCAGGTGGGCAGATGCCTTGCTTGAGAATGAGTAATGAGGCTGTGATGCCAGCGTTGTATTGGCG